GGGCGGGCCGGCACTGCAGGAGCTGGGCGCACGGCGCCTGATGGTAGCTGTAAGGGATAGTTTGCGCCTTGGGCAGCTGCCCGGCTCGCCCATGCCTCTGTCTGGCCCTGGCCCAGATTATTAGTACAGCGCCCACAGCTAGGCTTTTTTGTTTCTCCTGATGGTGCACATTCACACATGCCTCGGTGCATGTTAAAAATTTATTCTGCACATGGATGGAAAAATCCAAATGAAAGTGCTATAAACTTGCGTAATCCTGACCCATATTATGTAAGTGGGGCCAGGAAACAGAGACCAATCCCTATCCAGCGCTTCTGGGAATCATACTTTTAGCACACATTGGACATTCAACCCTCAACTCTAACAAGAAGATAACGGTAAAATATCCACTGGCTTCAGATGCTACCGTGACTAGGACTCCTGATTTGAATGACACTGTTTTGCTGTGACTGTGGGCAAGTCACTTACTGATCTGTTGACATGCGGATAATAAAATTAGCCAGGATTACGCATATGTTGAGTGACTGGAAAGCACTTCGAGATCCTAACTGAGAAGATCAAAGTAGCATTAATAATAATTGCTGTTTCCTTCCCCAGCTGCCCATAAGATTTTACAAACCAGTGAATCTTCATTCGTTCAGGACGGTAAGCAATTCATTGTATGGTCCTACTCTAGCGACATCTGACGTCTATCCTTCGGCGTGCTTTTCCTTGCTATCATTTCTCTTCCCCGCCTCTCCCTCTCAGCTAGCTGGCTCTCCGCTGCCCATCTCAGGCATGTCTCATCAGAGCTGAAATCCAAATGGGTCAGGAGGGGGATTCTGTTGAGGCAGAAATTCAGGTAGGATGCTTGGCCAGCTGTGACTCGCTCCAAAAGATGTTCCTGGGACAGGAAGAAGGAAATAATTTGGAGTGGAGACCGAGAGGGGATTGTAGAAAGTCAGGGTATGTCTACACTACCCCCCTAGTTCGAACTAGTAGTTCCTGCCGTGGAACGAGGTGTACAGCTAATTTGGATTAGGAAGCCTAATCCAAACTAGCTAGTCCGTGCCGCGTGTAGCCGCGTGGCACGGGGTCCGACCTAGCTGGCATTTAAAAATGGCACCGGCCGGCTTTATGCAAATGAAGCCCGGGAAATTCAAATCCCGGGCTTCATTTGCAACTCCGTATGACTACATTACCCCCCCTAGTTCGAACTAGGGGGGTAGTGTAGATATACCCTCACTCTGGTTGAAAGAATGCTAGCTGGACTCTCATATGACAGCACCAATGGGTGGAAGTAAATAATCAGACCAGTGGGTTTCAAACGACAGGTTGTGCCCCAGCACTGGGGGCTGGAATGTTGGGCACGGGGCTTGTTGCTGCAGGGAGGTCAGGTGAGCAGTGGGGGGCTAAGGCAGCTCCCTGCCTGTCCTGGCACTGCAGAATGTGTTGCACCCCAGAAGTGGCCGGCAGCAGGCCCAGATCCTAGGTGGGAAAGGGGGCAAGGGGAGAGCGCACAGGGCTCCATGCACTGCCCCTGTCCTGAGCACTAGCTCTGCACTCACGTTGGCTGGGAACCTGCTGCGGCTGCTTCTGGGGCGCAGCATGGTCTGTGGGGCCAGGAGAGGCAAGAAGCTGCCTTAGCCCCCTCACTGTCCCACTGACACTCAAAGTCAGCCCCTCCTGCCTCCAACCTGACCCCCCCACAAAGCTCAGGCTCTCACCTCAACCCCTCCCCAGAGCCCATACTTTGAATTATGTGGGGTTGTGGGCGTCCACAATTTTCTTCAGCTGGGTCATGAGAAATAAAAGTTTGACAACCACTGTGTGAGTAGATATGCTGTGGGTGAAGAACCCACGGGATACAGCTGTAGGATAAAGCTGTCTGGCACATATCTGAACTATCAATAGAAGGCAGGTCTAGTCGTTTGTGAAAAGGAAGGGGAATCAGGCCCGCTTGGACTCTGTTCGGGTATGTCTACACTACAAAGTTAATTCGAACTAACAGACGTTAGTTCGAATTAACTTTAATAGGCGCTACACATACAAACCGCTAGTTCGAACTTAATTCGAACTAGCGGAGCGCTTAATTCGAACTAGGTAAACCTCATTCTACGAGGACTAACGCCTAGTTTGAA